GTATTTTGTAAAATACAGTCAAATTTCAATTATTACACATTATATATATAGAGAGAGATTATTGTTATTTTGAAATAAGTTCTTAAACTTATTTTTCTTAAAACATAGAACACTAAATAAAGAAGTAAAGCAAACAATTATATTTTCTAGTTATGACCTTTCTACTCGGTTGCTACTTGACGTAGGTTGTTAAGCCTTTAAAAATTTTGCATGTGGAGGATATGAAACAAAATAATTTTTTTAGGTTTTATATATACATTTTGAATAAATAAAAAAAATCATAAATTACTACATTAATACCATAGAATTCCACTATAATTTATCACACTTAGTAACTAAATTGTATTTTAGTCTAAAAAATACAAAATTTCGAACAGACTAAATACACACCCTACCTCATTGAAATATTGATTCAAAAGAAAGAAATGGTGCCAAGCCCATTAAAATGGCTGAGGAAGCCTCTAGGGGGACATTCTGAGCTTCCATTTGGTTATTCATGTTATATACAGAAGTATGTGTTTATAAGGGAGCTTTTCCAAAAATGGAAAGAGGTGGGTGAGGTGTCTCTGTATTTGATTTATTATATGAGCAATATCTCAGCAAATAGAAAAGATAAGATGTTCTTATTTTATATTCTAGCTTGTCAATATCGGTAATTTGAGTTTCTAATTCACAAACATCTAATTTGAACCAGTGCTGCATTCAACATACATGACACACAAAAAATCGAAGTTTATCTATTTTTTAATATATGCTTTTAAATTAAGAAATTGAGTAATATATAGTACTAAAGTTTGAATTATAATCTACAGTTTGATATCAAAGTTAGTGACATAAATTCATGAAATAGTAGTTCAATAACATTTTGAATGCAAGTCAACAAACGAGATGACATGGCCTTTCACCCATGACCAGTCTCGAAAGGGTTAGTACATCAACATGTATTACACGTAAAAGGAAGCTATAGAGGTTTTAAGCATCTATAATAGCATTCTGAATCACAACTTATAAGCATAACCTCAAATTTTATAAACTGCAATACATATAGGAGATTAAATTTGTCAAAAATATATGATTCAACTGCTAAAGAAAAACTAAATATGAGAATGATAAAAGAAGTGAGAAAGTAATTACTTTCATTCCTGATAAACAAACCTGTGAAAACGATCATGTGAAAAGCTAATAACTAATACGAATGTAACAGATGAGTCCCAATAGTTATAAATGTCAGTACTCTTGAATGCTCAACTAAAGCATGTGCAGAAACTTTCTGTATGATCAACATACGTTTCTTAAGACTGACAAAGTTTCAAGTCACTTTAAAAACAAAATGTTAAGATTCTCTGATATTAACAAAAAATACATTGTTTTGTACAAAACATACCTATGAATAGCAAGATAAAGTCTCATGAGTTCAGTAAAATCAGGATTATCATAACCAAGCATAGAAGTAAAGTTAGCTGACCAGTCCTTATCCACATCGATGGCACCAATGGCACTACCATCTCTGTACAAGTTTCGGTAGATAGTGGCAGCTATTGGAGGCAGTTTTGCAATCAGATTCATAGCATCTTCATATGCATACTGTTGATTGAAACAAAGATCAAAATTGTTACTTCTAAATATAAGAAAATAATTATCTTTAAATAACCTAAACTTTCTTTATAGTAATTATAATATTTCATACTATCTTTCAGACAAAATATATTCAAACATATTATATATATATATATATATATACACAAACATATTATATTAACTATACTGAAAAGAACTGAAACATGCTAACTTAAAAACTGCTACATAAAATTATTATTGTGTCTAAAACATATGCATACACGAAACAATGAGTTTGCTGGGCTCTCTTTAGTAAATAGTAATTTAAACAATAGTTTTTTATTATTTATTGGCCATTAACACAGTTTTGTACAAAGTATTAACTTCATAGAGTAGTAAATCAAATTTATCATGTTATCTTATTCTAAATACGAGTAACTACTTTCAGTTCAACAAACACTCATAATACTGTTTAATGTCACTTTAACAAGGATGTATTAACATAAAAAGTAAATTTAGAGGCTGAAGTACCACTTTAAAATATAAATATCTCTTTACAGAGTTGAAGAGCTTGTGGGTTAATAAAATCTTATAATTAACTTGGTACCTTAATCTGTAAATTTCCTATTTTTTTACTTATAATATGCACTTAAGCTAATAATGGAAGAAACTACTCTAAGTTTAAGCTTATATTTTTGTAACAATTATAAAATACATGCATTACTTTAAACTAGAGCTTTCTTGCATTATTTACTGGTCATGTACTGCCATCACCAGTAGGATATACAAGATATGCTTCCCTTTCTAAGTGTTCATCATTGTTATTCTGGTTACAAAAATCACGTGCTATCTACAATGCACAAATGTAAAGTATGATAAAAATGAACACTTATAATTTAATACTAAATAAAATTAAAATAGTACTTTAAAACAAAGTAAACTTTCTGTGACTTAGTTACAATATAAAATGTAGGCCTGTAGTAGATTCTATAAATAGTAACAAGAACAACTTATATACAGATTAATAGTACAAGAGCATTTTAAGTGTTATGAGAACTATTAGTTTTAACTTTTTTTCAGTTGAAAAAAGAATGTTTTCTTAAATAAGATAGCAAATTAACAAAACTATTTCTTTAACAGAACAAAACTTAAAACACTGTTTCAATACTTTTACAGAGGCAAAACCATTCTTTTCAGTTTGTTTTGTTTGTTTGTTATGGATTTCGTGCAAAGCTACACGAGGGCTATATGCGCTAGCCGTCCCTAATTTAGGAGTGAAAGACTAGAGGGAAGGCAGCTAGTCATCACCATCCACAGCCAACTCTTGGGCTACTCTTTTACCAACAAATAGTGGGATTGACCGTCACATTATAACGCCCCTACGGCTGCAAGTGTCACAGTATTTACTATTTATCAATATATCCAGGTAATTACAAAAAATTATTTAATCTTAAAACATTAATTCAGCAAGAGACATCAGACATATCAATGAGCTACTACAGGTGTTGCAGAAGTCATTGCTGTATCTTTGTAATGTGTGCATCACTTTAACTCAGTTCTATTGAGCTTTAGGTAGCAACTAATACAATTTAAATTTATTTTGTAAAAAGTAGTAGAAGGAAAAACGTTCACGCAAATATTTGACTAATCAGCCACAAGAATTAAAATACATTCTTATGGGTTAATAGTGTACCAAAACATTAAAGTTTACAGTGGTTTGAAGTTAGCACTCAGAGGAAAGACACAGCTTTTGTGATGGAATATTCCTAAAGTCAAGTAGGAAAAAGTATAATAAAATAAATACATGTGGTCCATGTTAATGTATTTTTCATTACTACTGAAAAACCTTAATGTATAACATTTATATGTACTTGAACACCTGAGCTTTGTGAGAAGCAAATAAGTATGTCAGTTTTCTAACTTTTAATCATTCAGTAATTTCCTTTAATAATTTTGGAGCTTTAAGCCCAAACCAGAGACTGAAAGCAGCTGTATGTATAAGTGGACATCTATATAACTTTTTCAATATTAACTTTCTTTACTGCTTCTTGATTTGCCCATGAAGAAGAATGGTCCACCTTTCATAAACACTTAGGTTATAAGGTTTGGTATTTTCAACCTTCTGTAACATTAAACATTTGGCCATATTTAAATGCATGTCTATGACTTTTTTTCATATATTCAAAAACACTTTATAAACTTTACCTCAGTAATAAGCAAACAAAAACCTCTTAAATAGGAGAAATAAATTTCTAGTTTTAGCATTTCTTTGTATAACCCTATTAACAGAATTCAGTATCTAATAAAAACTTTACCAGTCTCCAATCTAACTATAATTAACCATAAATCTGATGTTTTTTTTTAACCACAAGTTATTTGCTTCAGATGAAAAAGCAGTTATTACTAATAAGGCAATTCCATAATGTACAAGTCAATAAATTATCTATTTTACTGAAACCATGATTAATCTTTCACTTGTTTCCAACATCACCTGTTTTCTGTTTACAATAAGCATATTTACTGATTAGATTACACCATACTTCACGATAAAAAGATGACATAACACATACACTGGTCTCACTCATAAACTTACCTCCCAGTACAAATGTTTGGACACACCTTCAGCATAAGCTTTGGCAAATACGCTTTCTGTATTACAAGCTGCAATGGCTGCACTAAACTGGGACATAGGATGAAGATTTTCAGGGAAGTTATTTAGCATTGTCACTACATGGGGTGGAAGGTCAGCTTTCTCTGCCCAGATCTTAGAGACTGACTTTACCTACAAGAAAAAAATACTCTTTTAATTATTCCTGAAACTTTTATGCATTATGAAGTAAAAGTTACTTATTTATTTTGAGTACAGATACAAAATTCTTAAAAAGAAAATCCATACATTTTTCCATGAAGCAACAAATCTCTGCTCACACATGTGTAAAACTAGTCTGTATACGAACACATCTTAAACACTGTAGTAGATAAAGTATTTCCATACACAACATTAATCAGGCAGGTGGTAGCACTGCCTATGTAGGGATGGCTCAGATTATTCATCAAAATTTATTTAAACATCTCCCCAATAGGTCATCAGAACTTTACAATACTATACAGTGTTTCCTTTTATAACAATATCTATGACTGGATGAATATACGAGTAGTAAGGGGTGGTTATAGTTGGGAGCTGGAAGGGACATCATAGATGGGCTAACAAGCTCCTTTTTGTCCCTTTAAAATTTTATAAAATTATAATTACTGAGTTACAAGTTCTGGCAATGTCTTGATAATATCATAGCAAAAAGTTTGAATTTCTTGTTCTTCGTTCTGTTGCTTTTTTTTTATCATATGATAACTCAAAAATCAAAACAATGGTGTCAACCAATTTCATTAAAGTGACATAGTTTCAAATGGAGTATCCACTTTTATAAGTATTATTAACTTGTATTAATTAAAAAAAATCATAATTCTATTTTAAACGATGTTATCATTAACACTTGAAATTAGCTTTCTTACAGAAATTTGATGTTACTTTAAAAAGCTTAAGTACAGGGTGAAGCCGGAATTAGCAGCCAATAATAGATAAACAATAACTATTACAATTGGAACCTCATTGTATTTATAACTTGTTTATAAATACTACCTGCCTATATCTATTCAAACACTGCATTAAAAAACAAGCAAAGAAGTAAAGAAAAAACTTTCAAAAAAAGAAATAAATGTAGGGATGGCTAATATTAATCCTTCAAAAAACAAGGCAAACAAGATAGTAGAGATGGCATTTGCATCATTCCTACATAATAGCACAGGCAAGAATAAACATATAGCAAAATACTTCAATCACAATTGAGTTTAATTTATCTGTTAGCATTCTACTACACTGTGTGCCTTATGTAGTGGTGATGCAAATGCCATCTCTACTATCTTGTTTGCCTTGTTTTTTGAAGGATTGATATTAGACATCCCTAGATTTACTTCCTTTTTTGAAAAGTTTTTTTCTTTACTTGTATATATATATATTTAAATACATGAAAATAAGTTGCAAATATAACTAAAGATAAATTCCTGTTTTCATATGTTCCAAGAAAAACAAAGTTATACAATAAGAAATGTAAGGTTTGATTTACAATTTGCTTTAACAGTAATGTAATCTATACAAAACTGGCTTTTCATAATAGTATGCACTTTTAACCCATGCAAACAAATAAATTAATGATTATATTATTAATCTCACCTCTTCTACTGAGGGCACTTCACCTGTTAGAAGAAGCCAGAACAACCCTTCAGGGAGAGGTTGGCTTCCACCTGGGGCTTTAGGTAACAATTTCTTTATCTGAGGAATTGTAAAGTCACGGAACTCAATTCCATCTTCGGGATCTAGATTTGACGTTTCAGTTACTAGACCTCGGATTCCTCGCATACCTCCATATATCTTTAAGGTATAAAGAAAGTTTGAAGGTCTTCATAAAAACTATGTTAAAACCATTTTTATATTTCCATTTTTGGTATATATAATTCACACATAAAAATTAAATCTAGAAAATAACGCCACAAGAAAAATTTTAATTCCAGTCAAGTAAAACATTTTAGTGAAAAGTTGGATCTACTCTAGGGTTTGTAACAAATTTTATGAAACCATTCCTTAGTCAGCAGTAATAATGTAGTGCTCAATTTCAGGTAAGGAAATGGAAAACGATTTGTTCATTACTTTGTTTAGGGTGCACTATTGTTTTGTTTTCTTATTAAACCTTAGTTTTTGATTTGGGGATAATACTAAGAATTATTAAACACCAACAAAAGTGTTCCCTATTTTAGAGCTGCCCAGCCCTGATCTGCTCTTCCAGTGTTCTAAAAAATAATATAAAGTAGAAAAACAAAAAGTGCTAAGTCTACTACATGTATAGTAATTTAATATAAAAGAATACTGCATATTTATCATAGCCATTGTTGCACAGAATGTTTCATATATCTGCTAATTGCAATTCTTGCCCAAAAGAACCGTCTAAAATGGAAACAAAAAAATTACAGCCCTGAAAATAACTTCTTCATAATATCAAGTTCAGGATATAAAACAGTATCACCTGGTCAACAGTGATCTCTCCAACTACTTTACTTCCGTACTGTTCTCGAAAACTCTTCACTTGAACATGCTGCTCTTGAATTTTTTCTGCTAGTAAAGATTTTAACTCCTATAATGAAAGATGGAAAGAACTCTTTAATTCTGTGCATGTTAATCATGTACATGTGTGTTCATTTTATATTTTAAGCATGATAAATTAAATTTCAAATTAAATATCTTTTGTTTTCAGTATACTCTTATCTACTTTTTACTTTAAGATTTTATGACACACACACACACACACACACTGCAATTACACAAAAAATTTATGTTACTTGTGCTAAAAAACCAGAATAAATGTTTCCTATATTAAACTAATCTTTACATATAATTCTTAGAATCAAATGATTAACACCAAAACATCTAGTAAACTTAGTTTAGCACTTGGGATTACAAGCACTGTGACAATGTTTTTGAAAAATGCTTGGACAAAACAGAATCATAAATGACTAGCTGAATTTTCTCCTTTTTGTGTTTGTTACACAATATCATAAAAAATTTAAATAAGGAGTAGAGTTGATTGTCAAAAAGGAAGGAATATGTAGAAAACAAACTACAGTTTTAATTACTAAATAATGAATTAATAGTACATATTCCATGTGAGTAATAAGTTTCTCAAATGCTTCAAATTTTCATGGTTTGCACTTACATGTACAGGGGCATCAGCAAAGCTCCTGGAAAACACTGTTACAGCAGGAAGTGTTTTCTGGAAGATGTAGATAGTACAATTACACTTCTTAGTTGTTTTTTTATGCTAATAGCATACAGTATTCTTCTTCAACCTTATCACAAAATATATGTAAGCCAGTAATATCCTTTATCCACTGCTACAATGCAATAACAATACTTGATACACATCTATAAGAATACAGCTTCTCAACATACACTTGGTTAAAATACATAATAAGACACTTGAAAAACTGAAATACAAACAAAATTTGTACATGGCTTCAAAAATTATTGGACAGGTTTGCATCACTAATTGGAAGAAGAAACATTTTTATATCCTAATTACATTATGTATCTATAATATATATATAATAAAATTTGAATTATTTCACCAAGATCTGCATACAAAAGCTTACAATAAATATGGAACTTATTATTTTTTAGTTATCTCAATTTTTTGGACAATTTGAATAAGATAAATGATCAAGCTGTAAGATCTAAAGGTATTACCTTGACTTATGCATATATATATATATATATATATATATATATATACTAGCTAATAATAAACAGCAGGTCTTAGAAGGCTTAAAATACAGAGTAGCCATCTTCACAATTATTAAAGTACTAACATAACGTAGGTAAAACAAGAGATCATTTAGTCCTTCAAGGTATACCCACCCTTTAGAAAAGTCAAGATTTAAACACACCCTTAATTTCAGGAAATAAATGATTCCCCTTTTAAACTCCTGTAGTGTTGGCCTCCACTACCATTCATGGCAACTCAATCCACAAGTCAATTATTCTATTAGAAAAATCAATCTTTCTTAACTGAAGCCTAGCATGTCATTTCCAAATTTTAAAACTTTTGTGTTATTATGTTGAAAACATAACACAAAGAAGTCAGAGATCTTAAAAGAGCTTCAGTAAAATTACTTTTACTCTTTTGTCCTTAAGTGAAAACAAGTTAAAATATCTTAAACTATCACTGTAAAATAACCCTTCAATCCCTAGAATGACCATAATAGCCTTTCTCTTAACCCTTTCCAATAAATCAATATCCTTTCTTAGATAGAGATCAAAACTGTATTCAGTTTTTTAATGAAGTCTGACTAGTGATTTGTATAGAGGTAATTATCTATTTTAAGTTGTAATGAATATTTCTATATATATATATATATATATATATACACAC